TCTCTTTCTGTCTCTCTCTCTCTCTCTCTCTCTCTCTCTCTCTCTCTCTCTCTCTCTCTCTCTTTCTCTTTCTCTCTCCCTCCCTCTTCATCTTGCCCTCTCTCTCCCTTCCCCTCACTTGGCATATGACTAACCCTTCATCCCTCACTTGTTACATTGCCAGGGAGCGAACGGTAAAAGAAAATCAGGCCTCACTTGGTGGAAAAAGAGGGCAAGGAAAGGGTAGCCGATCCCTTGTGCCGCCAAGAAGGATAAGGAAAGAACGTTTGAAAAAGTGGGAGGAGGCGGAATCCGGGAGAATGTACAAGTTAAAATAAGGTCAGTTTTACTCAACCATTTCCCCGACTGCATGACTACAAGAAGAGAATTGGCTGATTGAGCACAAAGAGAAGCCTAAGGGAAAGGAAAGATAGGCATGTGGGAAGGGCTATGTGTTGACCCCCAATGGGGAATTGTACCGGTCTTTGCTTTGTGTGGGATTGTACAGGTAAGTAAAGGCTTGGGACGCGTTACGCGGGATAGGGTCGGGAGAAACCGGGCGGTGAAGGGAAAGGAAGAAGGGGCAAAGGGGCTATGGGACCCCTAGCGTAAAACCAATCCATGGAAGTGATCTTTGCGTTTGTGTCTTGGAATGTAAACGAAAGAGGGAAGTGCAAACTTGCTAAGGGAAACGTGAGGTTGCTTGTGCATGCATGTAAAGGCCCCGAAAAGACGAAGGGGCCTGCGTCAATAAGGATGGATGAGATGCTTGAGACTGGAGGGGTGCGTAGAGGGGCGGGGGAGGACGGCATCGCCGCACCCCGATGATGCCATAGAATTGCAATGCTTAGGGAAATGGTGCGCGGCCTAAGGATGACGCTTAGCTTGCGCACAAGAGAAGAGAACTCTCAAAGAACCCCTGGACTGTCTGCGTATTGGAAGGAGAAATTGCTTGAGAACACAACCAAGAATAAAAAAAAATCAGCGTTGCCGGATGACCAGCGAGACTACCACCCGGTGTGAGGGTTGAGCTACATCCCCAATGCCAAAGCTCTCTCGCGCAATGGCCCACCCCCATCCATCTCAAAGCACTAGGTGGGGGTGACCCTGGGACGAACGGCCCGCGCCCCGAGCATGAGCATTGGCGGGCCAAGCCAAATGAGACCCGCAGTGGGGTCGACCAAGGCTCGAAAGTCTACCGGGGTTAGGCCCTACAAAAATGGTGGAGGTGACGGGCAGAGGGTTAAACTGACCCTTGCGATTCTGAAGGGGGCGCCCGGCGCATTGACGTGTACACAACCAAAGATAAGGAAATTGGACTTGTACTTGCTCTTTCCCTCGTGAGAATCAAATTTGAGAGTGGCTGGCCGCATGGCATGACCAGGCCTAGAGGTAAAACATGTATGCTATGCACTTGATTAGCCACCTCCTTGTGGGATGACTCTAGCTCTCCTTCGTCCGGTGCTGGTGTTCGCCAGTCCGGAGAAGCTTTGGGCAAGTCGCAGGTCGACCCTTCCTCTTCGTATGAAAGAAGGGCTTCGGTTACCTGGCAGGCAGTTGGTCCTTCGGCTTCGGCCGGGGTCCGATGAAAATCCCGCGGCGGAGTGATTCGAACGAATGGGTGCCCTTCTCTCTTCTTCTTTGAGCCCAGCGGGCTCATGCACTATACACATTGAAATGCTTGAAGGAACCAACATGAACACAACGGGTCATCAAGAAGGAACAACCCCTTCCTATGAAAGGACAAACAAATGAAGAGAAAGGGGAATGAAGGGAGTTGCTAGACTCCAAGGAAAACTAGCTCACCCTTGAAGATTCTCACGAGAAGGAACTCATCACTGTGTATGGAAGTAGGGGGAGTGACACTCATTGTCCTGAGAGAAAATTTTGAGCCATGGGTAGGAAGCGTTGGGTGCACCAAGGGAAAGGCACTTGTATTATGTGCGTCCCACTTGAGACTTGTGACTTGCATGATGGGATTTGAGCGTCATGCCTTTCGGAAGGAAAGGATGGGTCTGCACCGGCTGGTGCGGATTGCAAAACGTCGCTCTCTTTGAAGTTCGTCGGGTTTCGTGTGCGGAGGTCGGTCCACCGAGCTGTCGAACGGGAATTTGTCTGGCCGATTGATTAGTAGCATTCTCACCTGGGTCGTCCGAGCATGGCTTGATGATCTTGCCCAGGCGGGGTGCGAAACGTCTTCTTAGGCGGGGCTTAGCCTGTTGGCTGGCGGGGGGAGTACCACTGCATGCGAGGCAAGGAAGAAACTTCGGAGACGATTAGTAGCTCCCCGTAGTACGGTCTGGGAGAGGCTGATTCTTGTCGGACCGATGGAAGTGAATGCCCGGACGAGTGACTTTTGCTCCTAACGGGGTGCACGGGGTGATTCCCGGTACCAACGAGGGTATGCAAGAGCGACAAAACGGGATGGGGTATTTTGGGCAAATGTAGAGGGGTAACACCCTGAGCCGGAGCCTGGGTACCGCGCTCGCGACGGTTGAGTTGCGCTTGAGGTATGGGATAAAACTCTGCCGAAAGTACCAACGAAGAGACCATATTGGGGAAAGGCCGGTGAGGAGATGACCGACCCGTATGTGAGATTGCCTGATTTTTTTCTGTGTATTCCTCCCATGTAAAGATTGATTGAGGCTGAACTGTTGAGCGGGGTACGACTCTAGTCTATTCTCACCTCCCTATCTAAGTCTACACGAGTGAGAGATGATTGAAAGGAAGGAGGATAGAGGTCAGTTGGAATGAAACCAAAAGAAAGAATGTTGGGAAATGGATGGCCGACCGAGGGTACTATGGGAAGGAGATACTTAGGGATGGGAAGGTAAATTAGGAAGACCTTGATGAGGGGTCTGAAATAATTATCATCTAGGACGTGGGTTGACCTGACCGGAAGGGACGTTTGGTACTCTCTTATGGAAACAGGGGTCGGGTGCTGGAAAACAAGATGGTGCGGTGGTTGTCATCCCCGATCTATACCAGCGGTCCGGAAATGCCAGTAGATGTAAAGGATGGGGTATCGGTCGTCCTCCCGGAAGATGGGATGTGGACAAATCTTGAGCCAGCATATCAAACCGTAATGCTGGAAGAGGAAGACACGTTCCTTTGGATAGAAACGATATGGACTAAAGTCAGTTTGACAAGGTTGTCGCCGAGCTTAATGGATTTGGAGTTCCGAGGGACGGTGGAAGCCTGGGGGTGAGTCTACTTGTCGCAAGATGGGGAGAACGCTATGGTCATAGATTTGGTGCTAGGAAATACGCCGGACGAATTGTTTAGGAAGGCAGAGAGGGAGGTTGTATGGGCTGCGTGTCAACGGGCAGAAATGGAAATGGAAAAGGTAGAGGTGCGAGTGGAGCTCGGGGATAGAGGGAACGTGAGGCGACCCGTCAGAACAATGCGGTGTGTGCTGCCCCCCTTTCTAGTGGATGCGGTCTTCGGAACCCGGAGCAGGCTAGTACATATATGCTCCATGACGACCCTCGGACTACACCAATGCGGCAGGCAGGACTTCTTCCGGTTGTTGGTAGAAATGGGGCCGTTTGAAGGGAATTGGGCGGAAGAGTTGGCCGAGATGCTGAACTGCCTTAGCATAGACAATGTCTTTGTTCCTAACTCTGTGCATTGGGGGATAGTCTACAGAAATGTGGCAATAGGGGAGACATTCCTGGAGGGCATGAAGGAATTGTTTTACAACGAAGAGGACGACTTCAGTGACGAGGACGAAGGGGATGAAATAGAGGACTGAGACTTCTAAGGTGGGGGAGTTACTTAGGGAAACCGAGTGGCCTGGCATTGTGCAGGACGGGGAAAGATGACTAGAGAAGAATTGCTGATGGACTGCACTTTCAAGGGATGGGAACCGAGGCGACTCAAAGGGGGAATATAAATACCTATACCAACAGAAAACGAATGGAGGGGGACCACGTGCGACTGGGTTGGGTTTGAAGTTGGGTTGGGTTTGAAGTTGCCCAGGGGCTATCTTACGTATGGATAGAGCGGATCTGGAACCCAATAAGGGAAGCGGAAGGCTGGGACGAGATAGCGGAAGGCAGAGTGGAATCAATCAGAACGGTCGTTCTTTCCGAAGACGGGTGGCGCCTATTTTGCACTATGATAGCAACGGGACAAGATCAGATGTCGCTTCTGGGGGATGCGGAGACGCGGACCCGGAAGGAGGGACAGAAGTTCGCTGATGTTGACTGGGTACCTACGTACAAACAAGTCTGTGCGTCTGACCGACGGCCTGGGCTGGGTCCATTTTGACTTTGACTGTTGGACGTCGGGCAACTGATTTTGGTCAACTGTCGCCCGCTCAGGCCCTGAATCTACTTAGGGGTTTTTTCTCCCCTCAGCCTGGGTCTGAGTGGTGGCCTGGCGAGGCCCTTAGACATTCCAAGAGGCATACTGGATGGGTTATTGCAACAATGGAAAGACTGGCATAACTCTGGCCCAGTACTTGGGAGACAGGGAACCATACAGGACAGCCCCCAGAGTCTCACAAGACAGGAAGAGTGAAAGAGAAGTTACCATCAAAGACGAGACAGTAGCAGAGGAAAGCTCCCAAAAGCAACCTCAGGCACAGTCTGTCACAATATTTGGCAGGATTCTTGTTATGGGTGCGAACCTGAGAGGGATTCATGAGAAGGGAAGCTGACATTCAATCCTCTTGATACAGGGAGTAATCAATATTGGTCAGGGGTCCTTCGGCCAAAAGGAAGGAAGCGTGAGGGTGTCGTCACGATACACCCTTGGGGTCCGAACCCTTGACCGGGGATTGCAAATGCAAGTGTGTTAGTCCTAGGGACACACGATACAGGACACAGTGCTGCGGCCATAGATTGTGGAAATGAGAAGAGGTTGACCAATCAAGTAAAGAAACTATAACCACTTTTTTTTTTAAAAAAGCATCGTGGCTGGGAATCGGACAAGAGGGCAGAATGTCTCAAAAAGAAAAAGAACAAACCATGAAAAGAAGAACGAGAGAACGGGCCTCACTCCACTGCACAATGCTCTGCATGTACCTGGAGCCTAATAATGGTCTGTTTCATTCGAAATGTTTCATCAGTCCAAAAATCTGGTCTTCCTTTTACTGTCCACATACATGTCTAGTGTTGTGCAGCTGAGCGAGGCCAAATAACCCAATTGACAGGCCACAAACTCTTCAAAGACAGAGGACAGATGACACAGAATCTGCTGCCAGCTGGGTAGAGTACATAGCAGACCCTGATGAGCGCACAAAAGGTACAGGCCTCTCTCTCTCTCTCTCTCTCTCTCTCTCTCTCTCTCTCTCTCTCTCTCTCTCTCTCTCTCTCTCTAGTACATGACTTGCCGGGTGGAAAAGGAACCGGACTGATGCTCCCCAGAAAGGACATGGAGGCAGGACCATAAGGGCCTGTTTTTTTTTTTTTGAAAAGGAGTCCTAGTGTGAGTATGCCCCCACTCCCCATTCTCCACCCCCCTGACCTCCCAGCCCCCCTTTCGTAGCTCCCCCTGGCCCCCCTTTTCCCTCTCCACCCTTTTTTCTCTCCTCTATCGCTTCCAAAAGTTGGTCCCCTACAGCTGTTGGAAAAAGAAACAAATTTTGTATGCAAGTTGTATTCTGCAACCATGTCCCCTACAGCTGTTTAACGAAACAAATTATACACTGGCTGAGTTCTGTCCCATACAGTTGTATTCCTCCTCAAACCGCGACGTGATATGACCCCTGATGAGGACCGGCTGGCAACTGGTCGAAACGCGGCGTAGGGTCGCGCCATCATCAGCTGGCAGTTCCTTCAGGATGTTGACGACGCGCATGCTTCGTTAACTTTTTTTGCATGTGCTGGCTACGGCAGGCTGGTTTATTGAAATTTTTATGCTGACCTGTCAGGTCGCGTTCGGGAGAAGGCTTGTGTGTCATCGTCTGCTCTCAACTCTTGTCTATGTCTACGCCTGCTTCTCGCTCTGGTCTATGGGTGTTCGCTCGCCACTCTAATATCTATCCTTGGCAAATGCCTATGTTGTTGTCCCGTTTGTCATGTTGAACCTTGACATATACAACCTGGACCGAATGAATTAGCTTCCTCTCGATAATGAATGCATGCAAGTTGTATTCTGCAACCATGCTCCATCCACCCCAGCATCCCACAACAACTACTTGCTTTAAATCAGTCGAGCAGTACTGGACTCCAAGAAGTTGAATTAAATTACGGAGGGAGAGGGGGGAAAGACGGAAACCCCGGAGTGTCAAATTTGACGAACTTCTGGTCGGACTGACCAATTTGATTCTCTCAATGTCTTTGTCAATGACTTTTGGCTTCGTGTTGTTGGGTTGCACTTGAGCCCACTGCTCTAGTTCCAGTTACTGACATGCCTAGTTTAACTGCTCTTTGGTTCCAGGTCTATTTCGGTTGCTGGTGGGATGACCTCTCAGGTAATTTAGAGAGAAAGAAGGATTTTGCTGCGACCTGGAGGAGGGGGACAAGGATGTGGATGAGAGGCCATTATGTCACTGTGGCAGTGAGCAGAACTGGAGAAGGCTAGAGCATATGCCATCGCCAATATACAAGTAACTACCAACAAGATGTGATAATTGCCGTTTCATTGTATCATTGAAGCCATGTTGGCAGCCTCACCATGCCGTTTCATGGTCCCATTGAAGCAACAACCGTTTCATTGTACTATTGAAGCAACGCCATTATATTGGCAGCCTTGCCATGTCCAACTCTTCAGCAGTTATGGTTCATTTATGACAAGTATTCCAGTTCTATCAAGCTACCGTGTAGCCACCGTTATTCATTACTGTTATTCACAGCTACTTCTGCTTGTGATTTATAAATTGGGAGCCAGTGGTGGTGAAGAGCCAGGGTAATCAGGTCTCAGAATGCAGGAAGAAACATGACCAGGGTTTCGTTGTCCAGTGGGTGGGGCTGTTTCTGAAGATCTTAAGCAGGAGTGCCTACCTGGCTATCAGCAGCATGCTGGATACCATATATTTCACGTCAATGCAAGCCAACAGATCAAATCCTGTGAGAGGAGCGCTGATGATAATTTCCCCTTCTGGGGGAATGGAGAAAATGAGGCAGTACAGGCCACGGGAAAGTTGCTGCAGTTTGTGAGCATGTAGTGTGACTGTTTCCCATCCTGAGGCAGCCTTGAAGGGAGAAAACGGGGCATGAAAACAATGAATCAGCCATGTGGTACTTAAGCACTGAAGATATCTTGCCTGTTCTTCACAGATTGGGCCACTAGTCGACATAAAATACGCTCCATGTGCATGATCCTTTGAACATGTAAGGGTGCAAAACACTGCAAAAGGGTGCTGAAATTGACCTTTGAAAAGTGGAGCTGGGATGGAGATGGGCAGGGGTGAGGGCAGGACGAGGAGAGGGTGGTAGCAAGACTAAAGTCTGTGGGTGTGCATGCGCACATGCAGACAAACAGACAGGTAGATGTAGGAGGTGGCAGGCAGGCAGGCAGACTAGCAATAGACAGATGGAGAGATAGACAAAGACAAATAGATAGGGCAGAAGTGGTGAGCCTGTTGGAGGTTGGTAGTAGCCATCTGTAGGCTGTGTCAAAGAAATGTTGTATCCTCACTTGATTAATCATCTATGCACTCAGACATGGCGGGCAGTCCAGCCTTCATGCTTGGCAGCTCTCTAAGCTACTATGAACAACAAAAGCCAACAAAGCATTGGGGACAAGAATCGTCCTTTATCAGTCCCTTTGGCGTCACATCATTAACTTTTCAAGTGAACTCAGCACTATTACCTCTTGTACATCGCATGAAGATCAAAGGAAGTGAAACTGTGCCTGTATTGTCTGTTATCCTCTGGTGAACTCTGATGATCACATTCTTTCCCTTTCTGTCTTTTTCTCTCGTTTTCACACACACACACACACACACACACACAGAGAGAGAGAGAGAGAGAGAGAGAGAGAGAGAGAGAGAGA